GGGGGGGTGGGGGGGGGGTTGTGCCTTTATGTTGGGGAAGGGAAAAAGGAAATGGATTTGAAATGCCAATTTCCAAATTAAAACTACTTTAATGTGCAATAAATGAAATGTTTTCAGTAGATAATAATCCACTGTTCCCGCAATTAGTTAGACAATCCACTTTTAGTATGCATAGCTCGGTAAAATAAATTGAAAAGCTTATGACATTTGAAAGGAACTAGGCAAAGAGACACCAATTGGAATGAAGATGAATGCAAATAAGCCTAGTGGAACTATCGATTAAACTCAGGACAAGAGAGTCTTTGTTCTTTTCAATTCTTGCATTAACAATTAGTTCATTTTTATTATTTTTTTCATCATTTTGGTTTTGCGCTGCGAAGTTCGCATGTTGGAATTTGATTGCGAGGTTCGTAAGTGAGTTTGTTTCTTCTTGATTGTTTAATTAAACAGAAGTCCTAGTAGTTTCTTCTCGACTTATTTTTTAACTCTCTTTTTTCTCTATGCCGGGAAAAACTAAATGAAACTCAAATTTTCTAGTCAAGTTGAGGTCACTGAAGTTCTGACATGTAACTCTGTACTGCAAAAAAAGAAATGGCAGGTCTTGTCAACAATGCGAAGTGAATACAATGGTACTTGCTTATATGAATTTCTGTTTTGGAAGAAAAATTCTACTGATTTTGATGACTACGCTTAAGTATTATAACAGTGGCTAACTTTCACATTTGAAGTCGATTATCTTCGAGTAAATACTTCCTGTTTTAAAATTCCTTTTAAATCCAACCAGTCATTTTGGCGACACATTCAATTAAAAAAGAGTTCGACAGTCTGTTCCCCTTTCCCATTGTTTTGGAGCAACTTCCGTCTTTTTTCTAATTTTAACAATGAGAATAACAAAATATTGATGTTTTTATCTACCTAACAATGGATTATTTATATTCCACTATACTTATTGCCTTTTTCAATGATTGGATTATACTTGAATATAGAGCATTAAGTGCTTTTGGCAATTTCTCCCAGTGAGGAGGAGGAGGAGTGGAAGAAGAACTTTGTTGCATTTCTGCTCTCATTTCCCTTCTAATTGTCCGCATGTCATTATCCATTTTTTTCCTTAATAAAAAGAGGAGCACGTTAATTCTTCTAAATCTTCTGTCTTGTCTTTCAATTTGCATTAATTTGAGTAATTAAAAAGTCTTTCTTGCAATATTTGTTAGTCGTTAGTTCGAAAAATGTGCACTCTTCTAAAATTTTGTATTTTGCCTGTTTTCACTCGTCTTTGTGAAGTTATTATCTTTTTTCCCGCATCTGCCGAATGCTTCATCCTCCCAGTCATGGGTTTCAAGACTGTCTCCTATGTGCTTCTTAACTTTTTTATCTAGGCCCTTACTAATCCCTGAAACAGTAACCGCTGCGGTTAATCCTCAAGACTGTCAATTCTAAAGACTGAGGTGACCTCAATTTCCCAGTAGACAATTGTCATATCACCTCAAGTTGCTTATTTCATTTAGCAAGATATGCTACTTAAGCGATGTCCGGGCTAACTTCATCAGTTTATGCGGGGCATTTCTGTTACCTTAATTCCAGTTGTACTTCAGCTTTACCCCTTCTCTAAGCCCATTCAGAGTATTATTTGAAATTGTACGATGTTGCAGGGGCAAATTTGACTTTCGTTTAAAAATTTTTGATATTCAACTGGATTTCCCTTAAAATCTCTTTGGAAATAGGCAAGCTAACGAAGTTGCTAGGAAACTAATCCAAATATGGACTTATCTATCTCATGGAATTAAAATTATTTTTTTTTATTTCTAATAAAATTTAGATGTTATTTTTAAACGATTGTGCCTAACATGATGAGCAATAAAATTATTCATGTTGTATTTTGTACAATCAAACATTGTTGTCAGCAATAAGGCAAAAATTCAGATCCACAGACTGTTTAAATAGAGTAGTCCAATGAGAAACTAGGGAGATGGGGGTGATTTAAAAATTTATAATTTCTTTTTCGAATTAACTTTATTTAGTTTTTAATGTTTAAGCCGTTTTAAAAGGCGATTATAATTCGAAAATTCAACCCAATTTTAAGAAACACATTTATTAGGTATCTTGGGGTTGAATTTCAATAAATGTTCGAGATTCCACAATAAATCCATTAAATTATGACAAATTGAAAAATATTAAAATTAATGTGCACAGGAAACAGCTCCTCATTATTTCGAATAACGGCTATGTGTCATCATGGACATTTCGGGCCGGTAAGCTTCTAGTCTACTGTCCCTTTGTTGATAAGAATGAATACTGATGGATGTGAATCAATAGGCATCAATCTTTTCAGACAAATGTGTTACAACTCCTACGCCATCGGTGTAGTTGCCATTATGTATTTCTGTCAAGTAAATATTTATTAGGTTAACTCTTAACTTTGTCCATTCGGTGATCATTATCTAAAGATCAATACTACTCATAATGTCCAAAGCACCAAAGTGGTGTGATACTGAGAAAAACTCCCTCTAGATCAAAGAATCGTAGGATAACTATGATCATGAATTTTGTAATTTAAATTACTTGACTCTTTTTTATGAATGGAAGTAAGCTGAGTGCGGGCCAATATGCAGATTTCTAACAGTCTATACTTTGATAAATCGGAATTACCATTTTCCTTGGAAATCTGCTAACCCAAAACTTTTGGATCAAAAGATCTCCTTGAATTCACTTATTTCCATGCTATTAAACATAGTTAATCCCTCCAACCCCCCCCCCCCCCCCCCCCCCCCCACCACCCCCTCTAATCCTTTTAGCCCTCAACGCTGTTCTACTCCTTTAGTTGGCTTAAGATCTACTTTCGCTTTCTTTCCGCTTTAGCGAAAATCGGTGGAGAGTACAAATAATAAATCACAGTCACCGAAGGTTTCATCAAATCTTCACAAACAAGATATTCCCAGAGCATCGGACTTCAATCTGCGTGTGGTTCTTGGAAAAGGAAGCTTCGGGAAGGTTAGTTTAAGGTCTCCTCTTTTTTCGCTTAAATAACCGTTTATTAATATGGATTGTTTACATGATGATGTTTGAACAGATGAAAAGGTATTGCTAAACTTTTTGAGTAAATAATTTGTGAAATGGATGGGAGATCTAACCTGCAATATTAGGGTTTTAGTATTATTGAATATCTCCAATATAGATATCAATACTACTGACGGTAAAATTAAACCTTGAACATAACTAGGTTAGTAATATACCTAAGGGGAAACTGGGTTATTGTGACTACTTCGTAACTTAAACAGTGGCATCGGATAAATAAGCACTCACTTTATTTTAAAACAATTTATTGGACCCTGCACCTTTCAAGAGGTCACATTTCCTTACCTGAAAAATTAAAAATCAATCGAACCAATAATATGCATTCACAGGTCCCTAGTTAGTGGTATGAGGATAAAATTCCCCCTTTTCATGGGGTTCCCTTTAAACTCACAATATGTCGCCATAGACAAAATTTCTTTCGTCTGATATTCGCCTAAGCATGAAGAGAACAAGGAGGTCGGCGTCACATGAAGTAAGTTTTGTCTTCTGATCAGAATTTTGAAGGAATGTTTAAATAAACAATCAATGCTATTTATGACTAACATGAATGCACTTTGTCTCGAATTTAAATAGCTGAAGCAAAAATAAATCCAGATTCCCTAAAGAACGTCATTTTGGGCAATTGTCCTCTACCAAATTGCAATTAAGTATGAAAAGTGCTTGCGTAATGAATTATTCTCCATTTGATGGCCATTGCAAGTACATTAGTGAATCGATATGTAGAAAGTGCATCCAAATCCTTATCAATTTGTCCTCTTGATAGTGAGAAAAGGCGAGCCTAATAACTACTATTAATTTGGTCTCTCCCAACAATCAGCTTTAGTAGGCAAACGCCACTTCCTAACCGGAAGTGGGTAGGATAGTGGATAATTTTGATATTAATCGTCTGCAAAGTGTTTTTTTACATCCTTCCTGCCATATGGTCATTTGATAGTCCAGGAAACGTCGCAATAAAGTACCTTAGGAGTCATGACTTCATCTTTATGGTAGTTTGCAAAATTTTAATCAGACCACTAACCTAGAATTTATCCCCCCCCCCCACCCAGATTATGGTCTGATGGGTGCTTAAGTACCCCCAAACTCATTCAATTTATGTGGCGCAGTAAATTCGAAGTGAAAATTTAATGTGGAATTTGAGTTTTTTTGTCAAACCTGAGCATAAATAAGGAAGATGTTAAGCATCTTTTTGTTGCTAATTAGTGGTTAACATGTTTTTGTTTAGAATAATCCTTAATGGGTCCCATTATATCGTCAATTTTATTTAGTGAAAAATAGTTATAATGGTACCACATTTGAAAATCGAAATTTTGAAATTTCATAAACACTAATACCTCCTTTAATCGCTAGTAAATTCGCATAATTTATCGTTCTGCTGTTTAATGCCCACTAATTGGTCTCTATTTTAGATATATCTGTTCACGATGACTTCAGATCCGCATTAAAATTGATTTTAATGAATAAATGAATAGGATATTTGTAGATTGCCACCTTTTAATTTCTTTAAGTCTATTGTGTACCAAATGAAATGAATTTATTAATGAAAACTAATTTGAAAGTGCACGCGTTCACCATGGAATATTTTTGATTGCACCATACATAGTACATCAAATTAATCGATGCATCGATCACAAGATTCTAACCATATTTGGAGACAACATTATCAAGATGACTTGATGAAGTAATTCTATATACCAAATGGTGCCATGAAGTTATTCAAGAACCCAACGATTTTTTTCTTGAAAGTTAATTTGTTCCATATGACGTAATGATTAGTACCCATTGTGGAATAAAAGGATTGTCCATTGCTTCCAAAGTTTACTCAAGCTTGGTGATCTTCTATCATTCGACGGCCGTCCCGTTCCTTATTTTATTCTTCTTATTTGCCAAAAATTCTTGGTTATTGTTATGGGGAAGAAGTGAAATCGGTTGAAAGATAGTCCCCCCCCCCATAAATGATAACGAGGAGGGTGATCTGAGGAAAAATAGGCAACAATAAGGTGGCAAGATGAGTCACTTCCTCTGATTTTAGGACTTCGATTTAAGAACATTATTTTTTTCTAAATTTTAACAGTTCATATCCCAAAATTCAAGTATCATCATTTGTCCGTTTGATAGAAGCAAGACGTCCTTACGATCGTCAGTGCTTATTGGCCAGTATTATATAACTGAGGTGGATTGAAATTTGTCGTTTTGTTTCGAATCTTTTATTTTCATTGAATGATTGCGAAGGCAAAATTTACTTATATATAGTTAAGTAATTTTATGCACAGCACTTTGATATTGTAAGTTCTTATCGATTTTCATATTTAAAAGATAATTACGGTAATCATAACTGACAATGGAACATATAATGGCTACTCTGATCTTTTGATTCTTATCTTATTTTATTATCTTAATTCTCCCTCCTTAAATTGGTAGTATAAACATGTGTGTTGAATTAATTAAATGGTTCCTTTCAGGTGGTTCTTGCAGAACGCAAAGGTACGGACGATGTCTTCGCTATGAAAATCCTTAAGAAAGATGTCATTCTACAGGACGACGATGTGGAATGCGTGATGATGGAGAAACGAGTCCTGGCACTTCAAGAAAAACCTCCATTCCTGGTCAAACTTCACTCCTGCTTCCAAACCATGGTGAGCTATTCCGACGGTGAATATTCTATATGCATCTTTATCAGTCTTTGATCATTTTCACCAATAAACGTAAACGTGTTTTCTTGTTTTGATGATAGATTGGCTTTAATTTGGTAGTGTCTGGGAATTCTCCCTTGTTGAACTATTAAAAGCAAGGAACAGCTTCCAAGTCAATTTAGGTGGAAGTTAACGTCATCATTTTTTCGGCTTCTTTTTTGTCTTCAAGTACATCTCTCTATGGGTTGATGCTTATTTGTTTGATTCCATATTCTTTTCCTTTGAGATTCCATTGGCTTAATGTGAACTTTGGCATATTAATCAGCGTTTGGTATTTAACAATTAAAATCGTATCATTTCACCCTCTAATGGACTGGAAAGAGACTTTCCAATATTTATAACAGTCCTTAGGCTGAAAATAAATAAACTAGATATGTCTAAAAGGAGAACAAGATATAAATAGAACAAAGTCTCCTAAACTCTATTTCCGTGACAGTTCTCTTGTTTTAGTGACGCGAATGACCAAATCTTTCTCCCTCCGATTTTTTTCCCACTTAAGTGTTTGCTCAGTTTTTTATAGTCTAGTATGATCCTCTTAATGAATGCTTATTTATATCAATACCAGGCTTCATGGTAGTTATAATTAGCCCTTTAGTTGACTTCGGGTTTCACAGAGGAGTGGAATATCAAAGTCACAAAACGTTGAAAGGGGGCACAGAAGGGTGATGCAGAGATGTAAAAGAGAGAGAGACACAAAGGTAGAGAAAAAAAGATAAGGAGTGTACTGTGGAAGTGACCGAATATGACATACAGACGAGTCATGGCAGAAGTCAACTATCTGTTAATAGACTTTTGCCGAATGAGTATACGTTGCTTGGGGTGCACCACGTGGAGTTAGGTCTATCGCGCACCCTAAGTGAAGTACTTACCTATGGAATTTTACACCTAATAGAGCTTCAAGCCTACTGACTATGTTTTTAATCAAATTCCCACTTTCCACTAACTGGTTACCCACCCAAGAGGTTTCTAACTCACCTTGTGTCGCTTTGAATATACGTGCCACCGCAGCTTCTATCAACTGTCTACCACTTTATTGTTCTAAGGCCCCTATTTTATCAATAATTCTACTATTTAAAACTAGTAATCGTGGTAACGACCATCAAAATTCCTACTGCAAAGCTAGAGATGGAGACCACGTCCTTCTTACTAGCGTCTTCAAAGGTAGCGGGTATCGATTCGAACACAATTGTGCATGTTTCTAATGAAAATGCACCCAGAATGGGAAACAAATTTGTATTAAATGGAATTTGAAGTTGCGGGTGGAAACTATAGAAAAATGCCTAAAATAGAAGGAATGTTTAAAAGGCGTAGAATTCAATTGTGTTTACTGTTCATGCATGACCTCTTATGCAAAAAAATTACGGTAGAGCGGGTTGGGGCGCGAGTGCAAGCCTACATGGAGGACCTAGCAACTTTTAATTGTGACACTTAAAAATAATTGAATAGATCTAAAAAAATTCTTATGATCTATCTTACTAAAATGAACTATCCACTTTTAACTTGACGTTCTACGCAAGGCTATTCAAGCAATTAAACAGGTTTCGAAGAACGAGTAGGAATTTCTTTTAATGTTTTTAGTGAAATATTTTTTATCCCTATGTATTTTGTTATTTCTTTTCTGGGCAATCAATCATCCATTTTTTTGCTTTTACATTATGCAGTGTTTTATCGCTTTACTGTAAAACTAATTAATTGCTAACACAAATATTTATTTATATCAAATGGTAGACGTTCTGATAGTTACCATTAGCCCTTTAGTTGAAATCAGGCTTCACAGAGGGGAAAAACATCAAAGTGAAAAAAGTCTAGAGGGGGGGGGGACAGAAGAGTCTTTCAAAGGTGTAAAATAGACAGAAACAAAGGTAGATAAAAGGTGAGGTGAGTACTGCGGAAGTAGTCGAATATAACATACAATGGGGTGAAGGTAGTTTGAAGTCAGAAGTCAATTGCCGGTTTATAGAATTTTTTGCCGTATGAGTATACGTTGCCCAGGGTGCACCACGTGGAAGTAAGTCTATCGCGCACCCATAACACAAATATAGATGTCCACAAATGATTGTCATTTCTATTTAAGCGAATATCTGAGGAATTTTTTACAACTCTTGAAATTTAAACCCCTCCTTGAATAAAATGAAGTTACTTGGAACTATTTCTTGGCATTTCTTTCTTGGGTTAATGTGTTCAATTTTTCAAGATGGTCTTCCAAAGACTTCTTTAGATTTACACTTAATGCGTTTTACTCTTTACGCCTGTTGTCAATTGGAAAAATCAATGCTCTTTAAATTTATTGACAAATTAGGCCTAATTGTATAATGATAATTTCTAAGGAGCTTGTTAAGTCGCAACGTCTGCATAAAAGGAAGCGTAGTTTTTACCGATCCGAATCTGCCAACAATGACTTAAATCGATGAGTCCAATCTTCCACTAATATATTCTTAATTATGCAAATGGATCTTGCAGAGTAATACTTGATTGTGTATCGCAAGTGTATTAATGATGATAACGCACACTGCGTTTCATTTTTAATTTTAAACCCTTTTTTAAATCATATACTTGTTGACAACAAGGATGGATGACTGGAAGTTATCCGACCTGCAACATGCTAATTTACTGCTGCCATAAAGCAAGGAGATTATGGTCGATGCTCAATGTTCCCTGAACACCAAAAATAGTCCAGAATGATCGGGTGGATTACAGTGGGGATTACGAGGCTGCTGTAACCAGAAGAAATCTGTTTTGTGTTGGTGTTGTAGAACCCTGGCATCGAAATTTGCTTTGACTTATCGCCATCGTTAGTAGCATTCTTCTTCCTCTACTGGTAACCCTGTGCCCACTGGAGATCTTCCTTACTGTGAGCTCTGAAGAGATCAACCTCTTTCGGAAAATGTTCGCGAAAGTTTTCTGATAAAAGCGAAGAAATTTCTACCCTATGTGAAACACCAACAATCTAGTTCTTTTCTGATTATCAAAATTTCCTCGAGATCGTCAAATGTGCAAATAAGCAGAATAAGAGTTTAAAGAGCATTCCTCATGTCATACAGTCTATTTATTTATTTATATCAAATGGCAGGCGTTGTGAAAGTTATCATTAGCCCTCACAGAGGAGGAACATCAAAGTGAAACAAGTCGAGAGGGAGAGGGGGGACAGAAGAGAGTTTCAAAAATGTAAAAGAGACAGACACAAAAGTGGAAAAAGGTGAGGTGAGTACTGTGAAAGTAGTCGAATATGACATACAATGAGGTGAGGGTAGTTTGAAGTCAGAAGTCAACTGCCAGTTAATAGACTTTTTTGCCGTATGAGTATACGTTGCCCAGGGTGAACCACGTGGAGGTAAGTCTATCGCACACCCCAATGTCATACAGTCTAAATTTACCCAAATTGTCATGTGTCTCTCCTTCAAGTGTGACATGTTACCTTCTTCCTTATTTTTACTTGAACTGCTTGGGTTGAATTCGGGTGCTGAAATTTACGCGGAATTGCTGACCACCGTTCCAGTTATGCCCTAGGTAACGAATGGGCGTAGCCATTGCCAGGTCATGCGTATGGTGGCAGAGGTATTCGGCTCAGTGTCACACCTTAGGAAAAACGCTAAAAATGTCTATCATCCAATTTTTATGACTTCATTCGTACCAGTGTATTTTTGGCCTCCGAAATATGTCCTCCCATATCCTTTGCCCAATTGAATATTATGTATGCATTGGTTTATGTGGATAAGGGTACAAATCAACGTACAAATATATTTCAGAAGTCTAGTTAATAGACAGAATAAAGGTACTGGGGTTTCTGGACATTAGCGAGGACTGGGCGTTATTGGGTTGAGACCGTGATAAATACCAATGGCGGTAATCTTGAGTGGAACTCTTTGACATTCGTGTGATTTTTTTTCCTATTGGATGTTTTTTTTTAAATCTATAAAATGTTTTAGTTACCAACCTCTTTTTTCTCCTGATGAAAGTGGCAAATTTATCCCCAAACGCCCTGTGTATAATAAACTTTCTATCCAGGAACCAAATGCCGTCTATTCATTTATCTTCACTTCAATGTTTTGCTCTATTTAAGGATCGACTATACTTCGTTATGGAATATGCAAATGGGGGTGATTTGATGTATCGAATTCAGCAGGACGGTCGATTTAAGGAACCAGTGGCTGTGTAAGTTTAATCACTTCTTTTAACTACTTAGTCGAAATCATAAAGATTTATCAGTTCGAGTTATTGCTTAAAATGTAATTTGAACGAGGATATCTAGAAAAGCAACCATTTCTCCTCTTACCTTATCTTTCAAATGAGGCTTTTGCAGTTCCGAATAATTTGTTTTAGTGTGCCAATAAGAAATCACACAATTTGAAGACAAATTAGGATGTCACCGATACAATTTCCACCATCGCTTGCAAATTTTTCCATTAATTTTCGATCCTTTTAAAACTGGCCTTTTAATTTAACGTACTCGTATAAGTTTTTTGTTTTCCATTTCAGTCACTTAGCATCCGTAAAAGTAATAATGAGTTTAAGTGAAGTATGGTAAATAAACTTTGATGGTTATGTTTAAATTTCTAAGTTATTTTTAATTACGAGCAATAAATTTCGATTGTAACCGCCTCCCTCGGCTTTGTCATTTCTTAAAGGATTATTCCACTCACTCCACACCAAATCCACTCAAGAATCTACGAAGGGTAAACCCTATCTTTACTTAGGCGATGGAACGAACGGTTGGGTTGAAGATAACCCTTATGGTTTCCTACTAACTTCGCCGTAAACTATGTACTTCAAGTCTCCAGTAGTACACATCTCCGTTATACTGAGATACCCAATTTCCCAACCTGTTCTATTTACCGACGATCTTCAGGTGTAGCTGTAGAGTTTGCCCTGGGGTTGTGAGCCTCTGTGATAATTCATCGATAGCTTTAGGAGCATCTAATTCTTGTGGGGGTTTAATACGTCGTCAAAATTTTTGGTCCGTCCTTATTTTAACACACATCATTTCAATTCCTGTTGGCCTATGTAAATTTTTTAAACAAAAATTGACATTAATGGACTGCAAGCACTTGGCCATAAATTTCAGTAATGACTTGAAGGCGTTTAGACAGCCTGTAATGTCCGTCTAACATGTTCTCTGTGTTCTTCGAGCTCGAACAATTTTAGCCTTAACAGGAAAATGAAAAAAACATTTCTTAGCAATCTGTCTACTAAGGAAAAATGCAGAAGGTTGTTACCTTCACAAAATGAACTCTAACATCTATTTCTAAACCGCGATTTCTCACTGGTAGTCCTAACATTTTCCAATTTGCAAATATAGTTTATATTGAATTAATTAGACTTGGTTAGTTTATTGTTTATTTAAGGTGTTTGCACATTTATCTTTCAGATTCTACGGTGCTGAAATCGCAACTGGTCTGTTCTACTTGCACTCCAATGGAATTATTTACCGGTAAGTCGCATACCACATAATTTTTTCTAGCACAAATAGGAAATTAAACCCCCCCCCCCCCACCCTACCCGTTCTTCCACATACCTCTTTTCACTATGCGCCTTTGAATGTCATAACCGACGCGTTAGTATGACCACTACTAACTTGCCAGCCAGCACTACAAATACGTGCCTTCTGAGGGCATATACGTCTTCCCTTTTCAGTATCGATATAATAACTGTTAGAGGTGGATTAAACTAGGGCTTCATTTTATTGGCTAATTGGATTTCGAACGCTCATGAGCCCAGTATCTGGCTTGTGTAAGAGTCCATTGGAGTAGAGTGATGGGCGAGGTTCAAAAATTTTTGAAGAAATTGAAAGATATC